GGGAAAGAGGTGTCCTTCTCCCCCACCCCCTGTGAGTAACCCATTATTCCGTTATGGTTTTAATATGCATTTGTAATTACCTTTACTAAATAGCACACCATAAAGCTTTGGTTATATATTAAATGTAAACTGAAAGGAATGTAAACATATGTATTGTTAATTATAAATAGATAAGTAATGGCATAATAGATACAAAAAGTCTTATTCAGATGTATCAGTCATTTTACATTATCCGCAAATTGTCGCATGGTAGAGTAGATTTTTGTCTGAATATGTGAATAACTTGACTTGCGTTTATCTTTTTACATATTTAATAAAAAAATATATGTTAAAATCTGTCTAGCTCTAGAGACTATTCGAAACATTCTAAAATAATACTTTTCTGGTTTAAATACGTATTTTTGTTTCATTAGTGACTGCGTATGGGAGCAGGAAGAAAAAGGCAGCTGCTTTAAAAAAAAGTTCGCTTATTCTGTGTGTGTAGGTAGTATCTGCTTCCCCAAGAGCTCAGTAACTGTATCCCCTTCTACAAATCAAAAAAGAAAATGCATGTATGTATGCGCATGTAAACAGAACATTCTTCTTTATGGTAAATGCTTTGCAATTTCAGAGTACCAAATCTCTCGTTGTATCTCAGTTTTGATACAGCAAAAGCAAAACTCGCAGCAGCCAGGAGGTGAAGAGAGGACTATAGGAAGGGCACTGAAGCTCCCAGTGGTCTCTTCTTGCAACGGCCAAGTATTCAGGGATGAATCTTCAGTGCAGTACTTAAGAAGCCACCTATATTTTACATTAAAATATTAGTTTTTTGGAAGAAAAGGGGGAAACTTCATTGTAATTCTCACAGCTCTGATCTTTTGCAGCATGAGCAATGTTGCTGCAGTAGTTGCTGCTAAATCTCCAGGGATTTGAGCCTTGGGTCAGGACCTCTTTCTGCCGTGGGTTGAAGCTACCTGGTTGTGTCCCACCACCAACAGGTCAGCCTGAGCCCTCCCACTGCCTTCAGGTGTCCCCGGGGCTGGGGCTGAGCCACTGCCTAGCCCCACTTCAGGAAGGCTTCTGATGGAGCAGGGAGGATGAAGCCAGGACCAGAGGAGCCCGTTTCCAGTCCATGCGCTCAAACCTGGGAGAACAGTGCTAGTTTAGTTGATTTTCAGAAGGCTAGGGGGGAGGCATGCATTTGGGCGAGTGCGAATGCTCAACAGCACAAAAAAAAAAAGTAATATATTTTCCAGTTCAAATAGCTGAAAACTTTCTGCCACGATGTTGTGACCAAAAAAAATTGTTGTTAGACTGTTAGGTCATCTTCATGCTGTTATCTGACTTTGCGAAATAAATCTGTGACCACACCGCCCTATGAACAAAGCATTTTTATTCCCGTTCATCGAACCAGTTACCATCTAAGACGGCTAACAATTCAATATGTACACTGTGCAATGCATGATCTGTTTTTATACTTGTCTTTATAGAGATTGTAGCGACAAGTTGCTTTAAAAAGGAAAAAGAAAGTTATTTGCCATGTCTTCATATAGAATGTGAAAAAGCTGTCCCGAGCTTAATTTCCTTTAAAAGTGATACTGTATTTCTCTTTAGAAAGTTACAAGTGCAGGCAGGTTGTGGCAGTTCAAGTTTTATAATTCCATTTAATGATATATTTCAAAATACTCCATTTCAGTGCATCAAATTGTGCTGCTTCTGTGACCCTTATTTCCAACTGTTTCATAAATAAGTGCAAGACAGGGCGAAGGGAAGCCTGTCCGCAGAGTTCCTCCAGTACAACCACATTCAATCCAGAGGTATTTTTGTTTATTTTATTCTAATTCTTTTCTCATCAGGACTTCCTCCAGATGCTTTTGATGGATGGGTTAAATATGAAGTGTTGAAATAGGTGAGGCTTTTGTGGCAGTGTATCTGGTATCGGATGTAATATCTAACTTCATCAAACAGTGAGATTGCTGGGTGCATGCCTACATCGAACTCATCGTTCCCCTTCAAACACCATCAGAACTGCCTTTTTAGCATCCTTCATTAAATAAACAGCCGTCAGCCTTACTCTAAGAAAAAGAGTCCTTGGGCAGTTAGGGATCGCCTCGGTGGAGACCCCACGCTCACTGGGCATCACGCAGGGTAGGGGCACGGCCACCCCACCAGTGGGGAGGAGGGCTGGAAGAAGACTCCTCTCGTTCCAGCTGCAGCCCCGGAGCTGGACTGCAGCGGTGCCGGAGGGCGCGGGAGCCTCCCTTCCCTGCAGGGCTCTCGGCAAAATCTCCAAACCAGCATTAACAGGATGACCTAACTCGAACCTTAAGCTGCTTGAACTGTGACTGTCGTATGATGTTTGCTGGGGGGGGCGGGACCCTCAACATGCTCATTTGGTAGGTGTAACGTGCATACTTTCAAACCGCAAGAAACTTTGCAAGTCGGTGGTGGTGTTTCTGCTTTGTGAAGAGGGGAAGCTGACGTGCAGTCTTGTCCCCTGGTACCCACGGCAAGGGCTGCCAGGGGGAATCAGCCCTACTGATGCTGTGGCAGGTCAACTACTGTAACAGGCAGTACAAACTTAACTTGAAGCTGTTCACAAAGACATGACTAGTCGGTGCTCAGCTGGAAATATTAATAGGAGCTACTGATGTAAGGGTATGTTATCTGGGGAAAAAATGATGAGGCTGGTGATAAAGCCAGAGAAATGGTCTAAGAACTGAAAAAGGTGAACTTAAGGCTCAGCATCTCGGCAACTGCGCTTCTGCCCTGCTTCTGGCAAGTGAGATAGTTAACTAGTTAATAAACATCCCTCTGTGCCAGAAATGTAATTTAATGCTTCCCTTGGGGAAAGTGGACAGATTGTTTCATTAGTGCTTCAAGGCCACAGAGTCCCCCCTGGCTAGGGCAGCGTATCAAAAGAGATGAAACTCAAATTCCTACTCCTTCCTCCAAGGCACACAGAAAACCTACATATATTATAGATGAAGTGAGCAGTTTACATCTGCATGCAAATGTGTAATGTCTAAAAAAAGCTTTTCTTGTCTCAATTCTTTTTTTTTTGTCATTATCTAAAACCACAAGAATTTGTTTCAAGCGCACAGGCAAATAATTATTTGCTTAGCATTTTGCACTCATAGATGAGGTTTGACTAACTGGTTTTGCAGTGAAATATGAGAATCTTCAAAGGTTTGTTGGCCAAATTTATTCTCAGCTGGTTACCTTTGTAGGGTATATTGCTTGTTGCTACCAAAATATCAACAATGCGCCTGTTACTGCCTAGAAAATAAGTATAAAGGCCAGCTGCTGCTGTACGGAGCCTGCATTTCTGACAGATACAGGTCAGCTGAGATTCATCTTAATGCTGGGGGAAAAAAAATCATACATTTCAAAAACACTTTACTGTACCCATAGCTTTCTGAGCTTGTTCTCTTTTCTTCAAACATTCATTTGAGGTGAGGAAAAGACTGAACGTACATAAGCCCTTCAGGAGGTTGTATGGAAGAAATGAGTTGTGAGAAAATAAATACGGAAAATGAAGCAGGCACAGATGTCTGAGGGGGAAGGACATACAGGGAGGGTTTGCATTGCCGGGGTCCCACTGGTGACTAGGCTGGGCAAAACCAGTGCTGGTTATAAACCACCAAGGATCTCATGTAACCCAGCATGGATTTATCCAGGACTTTGGACACAGTGGCAAGGAGGAGGAAGACAAAAGCTTCAGAGAGGGTAGTAACACAGCATTAGTGAAGAGAATAAATATTAGCAGCAGAACAACTTGGTAAACACTTCTCTGCTGGACGGGAATCTTCCTCTGAGATGAAGCATCTTGCTGCATAGCTCATTGTCGCAGTGGTTCGGATATCTGGACTATTCTATTCTTTGGTTATTTAGATTAATTCCAACTATTTATCACATCAGAAGAGCTGCGAATCTCCACATCAAGTGTTACAGTCTGATCATAGTGCAGGTGTTCACTCTTGGACACGTTTCTTCAGGGAAAAGATGTAAATGTTCAAGTGCTCACTCAGCTGCCTTCCCTAAAGAGAAATGATGGAGATTAGCAACCGGTTTTGTATGCGCTTCACAATTCACCGTCTCTCTTCTCCCAGTCAGAGAGGGGAGGACCCAACCACAGTTCTTGTGTACTTGGGGACCTACGAGTACATGGGGACGTACAAGTATTCAAGCAAGAGAGCTGTGGTCTTTGCATTCTTCTTGCAGCGCACTGATGGGAAGTTAAATCACTACAGACCAGATTCACAGATGATATAAACTGTGATGGAGGTGGGCCCCCTCGCTCAATAGTGAATTTTGACCAGGTATTTTCATTCTGACCTCCACTGACTGGCCCGTATCAGTGCTGGGGTAAAATCTGCTATGATGCCAATCTCTGCTGACCAAAGGCTTCTTTCAAAGAAAAATCCTTACATCCCAATGGTGTATCTGAAATAAAAGAATGCTGACCAGCTCCCTGTGAAATGAGATCTTTGCCATGCAAGGTGTTTTATCTGAAAGCAAACCCCCATTAAGACACTTTCCTAAGGATTATTTGACAATACTCTCTAGAAAAGAGGGCATTAACTGAGGAAAAATGAATTTAAGCAGAAATTCAGATGACAATAAATGACAAAACTGATATCTAGCAGACACAAAAATGCCCTGGTAAGACTGGATGAACTGGAAAACCATTCATGTCTCCAGCTTGAGAGATGCTAACAGAGGGCTAAGAAAAGATTAGAAATTAGAACAGCTATTTTGCTTGCAGATTCAAAGCAAAGTGAACCTTATTTTATGAATTCTATTCATGTCACTTTGCATTTTACCTTCCTATTTTTTCAGTCAAGTAACCTCAGGAAGAAGAAGGGGAAAAAAAGAGGTGGGAGCACTCATGCTACATGGGTCGACTGCTACATAAAACCAGTCCACAAATATTCTGATTGTGATAGGTTTAAAGCCGAAACCAGTCGGCTACATTGGAATAATTCAAATCACTGAAGTTGCTGCACGTGCGAAAAGGCACTGCCTGCAGTAAATGGACTTTTTTTTTTAACTTTAGACTAAATAAAACAATACACAGAAAAAAACCCCTCATAACTGAACATTCAGACTCCCGGACACTGCCCCAGCTAGACAGCGTAGAAACCAATCCCAGACCCCATCTTCCTCCCCGCCCCAGTGCAGCTCTCCCATGGCCGCTTTGGAGGCGCCCACTCACCACGCAGACCCCGTAGTGCACATGGGCGGCCGTGACCAGGGCGGTGAACACGGCGAGCACCACTTCTTCCGTCCAGCCCAGCAGCCCGGAGATGGCTGCGTAGACCACCAGTGCCAGCGGGAAGAGGAACCAGTGGAAGAGCTCCGGCTGGGTGCTGCTCATCTGGCAGATGATCACCTTGCACTGTCGGAGCAAAAGGCACCAGGTGAGAAGCACTGGGTCAGCCCGGGGGACTAGGCAAAAGTACGTCCATTTTCTCTGCGCGTTGCTTTTGATGAGGGGAAAACAAGGCTAGCGTTCAAAATGGGGCTTGTTTCTGGTGTGAAGACTACTATAGATACACCTTTGTGCCTTATTGTCTGTGACTCTTAAAGGACTTTATTACAAGTAATTTAAAATACACACTTCTTTTCTGGAGACAGTGTTTTGACATGCTTTGCTTTATGAGCCGAAGCACATCTTTGCAAAAGGGGAGCTGTTTGACACCTCATGCTTTCACACAGGCTCGTGAAGTTGTGATCCCAAATGAAATGTGCCACCACTTAATCACTGGGAGAGCGTACTGGTATTTTGATCACATGGCAGGACAGAAATATGTTCTGGTTCATTGTATAGAAGGGAGGGAAGGTAATATATGCCACTTTTCAATCCTGTTTTTCTTTTCTAGCACTCCTTCATGTACTGAAACACCATTTTCTTGGCTCGATCATGGCGGTGGACTCCCTGGAGATGTAGCTTGGGGCCCAGGGAAAGGGATCCCACTCAGAATGGCAGAAAAAATGAATATATGGTGCATGGTTTAACTGAAAGCAATTAGCTTAATTTTACTGAGTTCTTGAAATGTAATGAGTTGAAGTTCAGATTTTTAAAACCAGTTAAGCGCGCCTAAGTGTCTTACCTGGTTTAGAGTCCTTAAGAAATGTGTCTCATATACATTATTCTCTTTTAAAAAAAAGGGGTTTAGGCACAGCTGAAATAGTTTTTCACTTTAAGTCTCTATCAAAATTTAAATGTGGTTAAAAATAGATTTTATATTTCCTGAAAACAGTGGAAGAATGAAAAATTCATTCCCTGAGCAGTGTCTGAAATCCTATGACAGCAGCAGTATGAGTCTGACCATAGGGGAAGAATACTGGCTTTACTTACTGTCTGTGCTGAAGAAGCTGAAGAATGCAAAAATAAACCATGAAAAAACAATAAACTTTCAATAATGCAAGAAGTAAGCATTTGTACCTAATGTGAATATTTTTGCTTACAATGCATTATCAGTATTGATTATGAATTTTTTGAATAACACTAGTCTTATGAATCCTTTGGGAATAATTCCAGAGGGTATCAGAAATTGCTAGAGCAATCTATAGGCTATAATTTCTCTGGCAGAATAATTGCACCTGTCCAGAGATTGGATTTCACATTGTTTTAAACCATTATTGCACCGTGTTAAGTACGGTACTCGATTTTTCGTAAAGATTGCTTATTAATATTTGGAGCAATTCACCTTCAGTGTATCACAGGACTGCAAAATGGACTATGCTCTGCACTCCTCCCTCAATTCCTTATTCCCCCTGGTCCTGAAGCACTGACTCACACTACAAGTGAGGCAAAAACAGCATCAGGAGATGAAAGCGCTGGAGTCTGGAGAGGCAGACTGGAGAGAAAAGGTAAGGCTGTGGGACTGTGCTTTTCCATCCCCCTCGGCCACACCTTGCAATGCTACCCTGGTCCTCCTGAATTTAAACTTCTAGCAGCTATGGTTTGTACCCCTGGGTAGGTCCTTAGCATCTTCTCTCTTACCATCTCCCCTGGGAGGTTCCTCACGAAGCATCTCCCGAGTCTGAGCTGCCCCTGCTCGTCAGCCAGCCACCATGTCGGCCACTGCACTCCTGCTATGGCGATGGCTGAAGGTCCCCTCCGCGGGACTTACCCGCTCTGCCCCCTCCTCCTGGACTCAAACACGTGCCTCTGAGGGCTTCCTAAGTGGGAGCTGTGACAGTTGTGCTCTGTGGTGATTTCCTCAGACCTGGATATTTCTGAAGAGTTGCCCTACGAGCAAATCTCAAAGCAAGGCCTGAGCCTCTCGGCAGGAGAGGTGGTCAACGCATAGGCAAGTCCCACTGCCGGCCATGGGGACTGGGGAAAGAAGTCCTCCTCTCAGGGATAAGCAGCTTTCCTTTTTTAGGCCTCGGAGGCCTTTTTGCCTTAGTTTAGCCAAAAATGCTGGAAATGGCCCGTCTTTCTGCCCGCTCCCAGGAGACCGTCACCTTCCCTACTCGTCCTGACGTTGCATGGCTACGAGGCCAGGTCTGAGACCAGGCGTTTAGCCCAAGGGATCTGCTGGGCAACTAAATATGTTGTCAAAGGCATGAGACGTTCAAGATACTGGCAGGTGGAGAAACGCGGGCTGCAGTTTGTGGTCTACAGAACAGATAATGGAAACCCAGCGTGTCAGAGTATCATGGAGAAGAAAAGCATTGCCATGTCAAGCCTTACTCTGATGCTGGAGGGAACGTGTTTGTATAAGGGACCAGAGGAGGTGAAAGGAAATACAGGCTTGTTTTTCACTTTTAAAATGTTATAAATCCCAACTAACACACATACATTTTTAATGCTTGCTTTTAAAATGTTAATAATTTCCACTAACGTGCATACATTTTTAATTCACACGAGCCTCTAACACTGCAGTAGATGTTTCAGTAAAATCAAAAACAAGGCCTGAAGAATATGCATTGCACTCACTGTCTAATAAACTGTAGTCTACAAAGAAACTTCTGGTTTGCCATACTATTTTTCTTCTGCAAGCATCCTGCCACAATTTCGCTCCGTTGGTTAAGACGTATGTGCAGAACCTGCCATCTGCCAAACTCTGAAAACACTTTCCTCACTGGTATGAAATAATTGTGTTTCTCATTTAGGAATCCACACTGTTCTCTTAAGAAAAAGGGGTAGATTAGGTAATGACAAATGCATACAATAAAACTTATACTTCTGAAAATAACCTAACTGTTGTGAGATTAAGTAAGTCCTTAAGATGGAACCATTTGTAGGTTTATCCATTTATAGGATACATCTGACAAGCATCACAATTATGATTTCTTTTCCATTCCTGAATACAAATATCTAGAGAGGTTATGTTTTCTCTTTTAAAATCCTACATTTTCAAAGATCTCTCTCATAATGCAAGGCACTTCAAGCCTTTCACTTTTTAAATTGGATATAGTGTTGCTCGGTGACACGATTTTAGATGGTGTTGGAGACTATTTTCCTAAAATGACACTAGTCACTATCCTTTAGGGTATTTTAGCATTAAATGGGGGAACACCTTTCCACGTGGCTGCAGCTCCCTTGCCTCTCTCCTGGCAAAAAGAGAGGCAAAGGGCCTCCTCCGGCGAAGAAAGCCCTGGGTTAACTGCAGTGCTCAGCATTACTATCTGCCTGCCCTTGTTATTACTTCACCGAGGTTTATGTTGCCTCACAGGCATTAAAAGCGGGAAATTGGTCACAATGATGTGGTATAGGAGAAACTAACCTGTGGGCAGAGAGCCATCGCAAGGCCCCTGCACCTCTTTATG